CTTTCAACTTTCTTAAAAATTACACAAATAGATAATATTTTAAGGCTAATATAAACGTTATCCCTTAGAAGTTGGCTGGAATCAAACTGTCTGGTTTGATAGCATTATCTATTTTATGATAAAAAATATATGTTCTTAAATTAAGATTGAACTATAAAACTAGTGAGATGGCTCTATAGGTAATAGTATTTGCCAACAAGCCTCATGATCTGTATTTAATCCCTGGGTCCTTCATGACAGGAGAAAAGAAATGACATCTACAAGTTGCCCTCTGACCTCACCAGAGGTGCTAACACACACGCATATGAACGTGCACATGCACATGCACACGCACATGCAAATGCACACACCACAGAGAGCAATAAAATAATTTAAATCTATAAGATAGAAATATCGGTAATGATCACTTCAATTCAATATGCAAACTCTTGAAAAATATATGGCTCATGGAGTTAAATGATAATTGTCTTGGTGTAACAAGATGCTTTGGAGGTTCTGTGTTTCTAATTTTATAAACTAATTGTTAAATAATCTATCCCAAGCCTATCCCTTGGCTTAAGAGAGAGATGTATAGTTTAACACTTACAGAAGATTGGGGTCACATGTGGAACCCATACACTGCCCAGAGCCTCGAGCCTGAAGGAGCTGTGTCCTTAGGGTGGTATCTTGCTGTCGTTATTCTGGAGTTCTAAATAATATTGACTGAGACTTTTGTATTTTTCTCCTGTACTGGGTCCCTCACACTGTGTCTTAGGACACTACTACGCTAATATTGTTCTTCCTAATCTCTACCATTTCTCTTTTAAGAGCAAAAGCTACCAAACGACATTCATATGATGCCTCTCACGAAAGCCCCTGTCACACAGCTAGAACATAAGTGTTAAACCTCAAGAGGTCCAAGGCCTCAGCTTTAGCTTTTCATTCTGAGTGCTGAGCACACCTAGCTCCCACAGGCTGAAATAATGGACAAGGGAAGAAATAAATGCACAGCAAGTTTTAAAGAAATGCCCATTGACATATCTCATAGACCAAGTCCTGTTTTGATGGCATTAGTTTACTGTGGAAAATGGTGAACAAAAAAATTGGTAGGTATGGAAAGATGAGACTACGAAGCTTCAGCCCTGGAAAGAGTAGATGCAACAGAGTTGATAAGAGAGATGGAGGAAATTGAATTGAATGTGAGTTAAATTCTCATAGGAAGAAGTAATGCTGTGGGGAGCTGAGCACAGGCCTGAAAGCTATTATGTGTACCCAAGCAAGTTATAGCTCGAGGGGTCCATTCTCCTCAAATTCTGTTAAATACTTGCTAGCTGCAATTGTAAGATATTATAGAGACTTCAGGGAAGGCTGTGTATTAGAAGGCCCAACATGGGGTTGGTGCTTTGATGATGATGATTATCATTTTTTACTAGTCTCATAATTTCTTTTAAATGTTTTTGAACAGGTTTTATGTAGCCAAGGTTAGACTTGAGCTTCCTTTGTGCTAAGGCAGACCTTGAGCTCCTTATTTTCCTGCTCTACCTTAAAAGTGCAGAGATTACAGAACACACTGTCAGGCTTCGCTTGGGCTTTCTCGGCTTACCATTTTTCATTAAGAAAATGTTGAAAAGAAATATAGAATTTGAATGAAAAGTGATTTTCTTAATTGCTTCCTCTGTCTCAGAATAGAATAAAAGGAACACAGACTTAGGTTCCCAGTTATAGTAGTCAAGCTAAGCATGTCTTATTTAAACCATGGAACTTTCCTACTGTGCTATTTACTGTGTGAAACAGATATATAACACTGATTTATGAAAAATCACATAACAAAAGAATATTTTTTCCTCTGGGTTGTCTCTGGTGCAATAGACTGCTTCTCAAATTCCTTTAGACAATCAGTGCCTTCAAAATGTTTGTCTTCTTTCATTAGGTTCTGTCCCAAAAGTCTATCACTCTTTTCCTAGAAAGTATAAACTTTCTACCGATCTTTCATGTGTTCAAACACCATGACATGACCTTGCTTTGTCTATTGCTTTTATAACACACTTCATGATAAAGTAAAGAAAATGGTGCCTGAACATAGATTCTGTTTCTGATTATATTTGTATCCCAGAACAATAATTTCTTTTAGGACATTCATGATTGCTGGTTTTTGTTGTTTTTCTGAAGATCACACACACAGTACTATCATAATGCCAGTTCAATGAAATCTAAATTTATAAGAACAGATGATCGATTTGATGTTCCATATAATTACTTATAGAATATTAAAGTGTTAGATATTGATAATAGTGGAAAGGAAATGGGAAATAGCATTAAGAGTCACAACTAAAATTATAAGCAAAAGTAAGTTTTTTTTAGGAAAAGATAGCCCTTAAGACACAAGATAAGAGAGAGGCAGAGAACTGGGGTCTGGACTATTCTAATTCTAAATGAGAAGTAGTGAGGGTGAAGCTGCCACCTATCTGGATCCAACTCAGTGTCCTGTTACAGGATTCCTTAGGATACACAAAGGAAAGTTAGAGACCTTCAAGGCAACAAAGAGGAGCGGTCAACAGGCTGAGAGAATAGACTGTTGGCCTAAGTCAACCGCAGAGCATGACTTTAGGAACAAGTACTTCTTGCTTATGTGTGCTTCAAGTGTGATCAACACTGGAAACATGAACTGCCTAGTGGGTGGTGTTCTGGCAGGGGGGTGGTCTTTACTACTCCCATATACATTTTGTTAATTTATAAAACAATAACTTTGCCACTTGAGTTATAATAGCCTTTAAAAAACCTCACTGCAGAGTCCACAGCTTTGGTCTTACTGCCTGGAATGGAAGACTGTTTCTTTTTTAGAGTGAATGGAGAGATTGGGACAGGAGACACGGAGAGTAAAATTACTCTCATAAGACAACACTAAAACTAATAACATTCCAGCATGCAAATTTCCCCAGATGACAAGAACTTGCAAATTTTCACCATAAAAATGATCATGATAGATGAAGCATAACCCTCAGTTTAGTATAAAAATCTAAGATGAGCTGGGAGGGAGAAGCAAATTATTTTCACTAGTTTTAGAAATCTAATGCGAGTGCATAATCAGAAATTAGTGACTGGATTGAACTCACTTCAAGGGAAAGCTTGAGCTCATGGAAACATACATATTCATACAGTAGCAACCTGTTTGAAATTGCTATTGGGTACAATTCCAAAATTAATGCATTTAATCATCTCCTAGGCATAAAGCCAAAGGCTAAAAGAGCAGAACATGAAAATATTGGCCTTGAATTACGTTCTGAACCCTGTTGAGCTTAATTTTACTTACAAAGCAGGATATGTAGTTTGCCACTTAAATTTGCCCCTTAGAGTCCTGGAAAAAAAACCTGGTTTCTTGTTATCATCATCTAAATTGTTGAATTCATTTGGAAAGCTCTAATTTTAGGAGAATCATTTTAAATTATTAGTCAAGTGCACACAGTAAATACACATAAGTAAGGCAGACAACAGCAAGAGAAGAAAGCAATTTTCTACCAATTTGACTGCAAGGTACATTGTGCAATTCCAGGAAACTTGTACCTTCAGAAGACACAAAAAAAAATTTAGCTATAGGGAATGAGCTGTATTTAAAAAAAAAACACTTTAAAAAGTTTCATTTTACAATACGGTGATATAGCATACATTTCTAGTACAAAATTTGGAGAACAAAAGAAGCAGTCTTGTAAGTACACCTGGCATGACTAAGCTTCTCCTCATATACACAGTTCTCTCAGAACATCTTCCTGAAAACAACGGTTGGTTCACCACCACACATTGTCAACATCACTGACAGAAAGAACTAAGAGGATGTCATTCACCACTCACATCTATATTTACTTTGAGAAATTCTTATAAATATTGCATCTTAAAATGATAATGAAAAAGCACTTCAAATAGTTAAAATCAATTATTTTAAAATATGATCTCTTGCTATGGACTATAAAAGTGTCAATTTGTGTATACTGTGCAAGAATTGGTAGCATGCAACACACATCTCTCTATAAGATTAGGGAAGGGAGATGGGTACCAGGTAGGGTTCTGGTAATTATTCTTTCTTGCGTTAGTTACATGACTTGAAGCTGTGTACAATTCAGCAATCTTGGAAACTGTCTGTGGGTATATTGCATTTAATAACAAGTTATAAGAAAAGAAAGAATGAAAGTTTGGAGGGAATGAGGACTAGGGCAAAAAGGAATAGAGAAGAAAGAGAAGAAAAATATATGGTAGAAGGCATATTTCTCGTCTTGAGGAATACTACTGTAAAGGCAATGCATGCTTCAGACGTTTGTATAATTGAAATAAGACATAATTCATAGGCTTGCAGAAATGGTTTTGGGTGGCGCTGGTGGCTCCTAATTAGAAAACACTTAGTTGTCATTTTTTGCACAGTCTGCATGTTGACATTTTCAGGCTGCAAGGGGTAAGGGGACTCTCTGTCCTTTAACAATCATATACCCTCTTATATATGTAGCTTTCTAGGGTTTTGGAAGCTGGATTTCAAAGTTGGTCGGGAAAAACCATAATGCCTGAGGCTTCTGCAGGGTTTGTATTTGAAAGTTATATCTATCTATATGTGTATATATGTGAATATATATAAATATGTATAAATACACACAAAAGTATACACACACACACACACACACACACACACACACACACACAGCAACCTTGTCTCTGCCACCCAAGTGTCTCAGCAGCTATGCTTTTGAGTTTGGGATTGACTTGGTTTCCTCCTTAGCAGCCACTCATTATCACAAGTGTTTCCAGATAACTCTAGTCTGCTTCTAAAGATGGGTTTCCTACATCATCATCTCAAAGGCAAGAAAAGGTTAAGCAAAAAAAAAAAAAAAAAAAAAGCAAAACAAAACCGAAAAAACAAAACAGAGATTGTGAAAGTGAGCAGCCCAGTGCTGAAGTGCCCCATCCGTCCATGCATTCCAGGCCCTTCATAGGATAATTTATGGTGATCGTGTCTGCAGTCTGGCTATTAGCATACTCACCCCTAACAAGAAGTTCTGCCTCATCTGACACACTGTCTGCTGTGGTCTGTACCCTGCAGCCATATCTCCCAGCATGCATCAGAAGGATGTTCCTGATCATTAAATCTGCAGAGGATGCTTGCTGAAAGAGGGATGAAGTGCCAGTTTAAAATGTTGCAAATCTGCCTAGTTCAAGGTGGTTTAGGGGGAACTTTGCATATTCAAAGGGCTAAGTTTTGGCCTTACAGTTTATACAACAGTGCAGAAATCAAACATGCCCTGTCTTAAGAAATACACAAAGTTATATTTTTCACAATCACTCAAAAAAAGACTTTCAACATTGAATATTACATAAAATGATTTAACAGCAATAGTTATGCGATATTTAAATATATACCAGTAACTCACAGCTTTAAATGTATAGGAAAATCAGTAAAATTTACTGCTTTGCTATTGAAAGACAGACTTATATTTTTTGTGTGACAGGAACACTGTGTTGAAAGAAGTAGGAACTAGTGGGAAATGAGTTATGAGAAGATAGCTATTAAAAGGTTATCTTGTGAGGATTTGCTGAATATTTCCTTTTGTAAGTACACTGTGAGTCACAGAATGTGAAGGCACTTAGGAGACAGATGCTGATCCCCAAGCCACGTGTCTTTATGTAACAGAGACATATTCCTCCCATAACCAACATCATCAGAAAGCAGGGTAAGCCAGAACCTGTGTTAATGCAATTATAAAACATGAAGAATGCTCAAAACACTTGACTTCACTGGGAGCAGAATCATTAGAGCCTGGTTAAGTAACTGCAGTTAGGTGATCAACAAGTGCCAGGGAGAGACACTTTTGATATGTTGGTTGGGGGAATCAGTGAGGACCCTGTAGGTGATTGATTGGTACAAACCTTTCTATACCTCGCACTGTCTTTCCATTACTATGTAAAAATTAATACCTTTCTATGATCATGTAAAGACCTGGTATTGATTATAATTCATGTGGTTTTACCCACTCCCCATACATTTAGCTTGTTCTTTGAGACACAGCATTATCATGTATAGGCTAGCCTGGAATATGTAGCCCAGACTGGCTTTGAACTTAGAGTGATCCTGATCTTTCTGACTCTGAGTGATGGGATTATAGGCATGTGCTAGCACATCCAGAGATTCAAGTTTTTCTTCACATGGTAAAACAATAAAAAGACTTCAATATTCTTTTGTGTTTGCATGTTGCAAAACAGGAAAAGTTGGCTTGAATGTGCATACAGTTTGAAATAATATCCTCCAAGAATTTATGCATAAAATGAGCACAGAAAAGAATGTTTAATATACTATGCTGGAGAAGGACCTCTGATTCCAAGAGCTTTTAATGTTGGATGGGATGGGAAAAAGTTACTTTTAAAACAAATGTATTTGTCCTTAGAAGACAAAACATGGTAATAATTATTTAGAATTTAGTTGTTTGCCTTTGTTTGGAAATATATGAATGGTTTTGTCATACAATGAAAAGAAAATCAATACCCAGCAGTTCTTAATTTTTCCTTCAGTGTTTGTGGAAAGAGTATGATGCTCTGAGCTTTTAAAGCACTCATACACGAATGCTTGTTTCTTTCAATGAGTCAGTGACTTTGTGATCTCCTGCATTTTAGGCATAATTTTTTTCTTTCCTTTCTCTGTTAGTTAGTTTTCATTTAGGCTGATCTTACAATTGGAACATCTAAGAGCATTGAAAATTTTTCTAATGAAATAATTTTTTGAGAGACAGTCTTGGTAGAGTCATATATAAGAAACTGATTCACAGCAAGAATGCTTTGATAATGGATTAAAATGTCACAACATTATTTCTAGAATGAAATGTTTGTCCATCAAATGTCATATTGATGACTTCCTTAGAATACATTCTCACTCACAAACCCTAAGGAGAGTCACTTTCTATGTGGCTCCTTTTTTGGGGGAGGATAAAGAAATGTGCTTCATCTTCTCAGCCCACCTAGGCAAAATGCTCAGTTCTTACAAATGCAAAATGAAAACTTTAAAACACTCTGATCTTTGATTTTAGTGGAGAAATAAAAGCAAATTAAACATTGAAAGCAGTTAGTTGTTCAGATTCCAGCCAAGATCATTTTGAATGACCAGATCTTTGCCCCCAGGAATTTGGGTCTATCATAGCTCCTGTGCTACAGGTGTCTGAGAGGCTTATACACCCAGACACTTAGCTCAGCAGCCTGAAGTCATGGAGTACATTCCTCGGTCATGGTGGGACACCTGACTAATGAAAAAGCAGAGGCAAAGCTGTACACACAGCAGGCTTGTCTTTTTTTTTTCCTGTCTAGACATAACTCCACTTGTGAGAATTGTTGGTACTTCCTCTGCTTTGTTCTGGTGGCTTATTATTTGCTATTCTCAATCTCTCTCTCTCTCTCTCTCTCTCTCTCTCTCTCTCTCTCTCTCTCTCTCTTTCTCTCATCTATCAATTTATCTATCATCTATCTATATCAACTATGTCTATCTCTATCTATCTATCTATCTATCTATCTATCTATCTATCTATCTATCATCTATCTATCTATCATCTATCAATCATCTATCTATCTATCATCTATCTATCTATCATCTATCTATCATCTATCAATCATCTATCTATCTATC